AATTTTCTAATATATGAGCTGTCATTAGATTGCCTATATTTAATGCTGAATAAGTACATATGGGCTAAATGAATGGGCAAAGTGGTTTATACTGTCTAACGTGCTATAAATGAGGTGAACTGATTGCAATCAGTGTCTGTTTTATTACAGGTCTCTCATTACCTGTGCCCAGAACACCTGATTAGATTCCATGGCGAGTACAAATAACGTGACCGAGTTAATTATCGTCGGTCTTTTCCAGGATCCAGAAGTGCAGAGGGCATGCTTTGTGATGTTTCTTCCTGTGTACCTGGCGACAGTGGTGGGCAATGGTCTCATTGTTCTGACAGTCAATGTCAGTAAGAGTCTGCGTTCCCCCATGTACTTCTTCCTTAGCTACTTGTCCCTGGTGGAGATCACTTACTCCTCCACTGTTGTCCCTAAATTCATGACAGACTTACTTGCCAAGATTAAAACCATCTCCCTGGAGGGCTGTGTGGCTCAGATATTCTTCTTCCACTTCTTTGGAGTTACTGAGATCTTCCTGCTGACGGTAATGGCCTATGACCGCTTTGTGGCCATTTGTAAACCTCTTCGCTACACCACCATCATGAGCCAGTTTGTGTGTCGCCTTCTGGTGGCTGTTTCCTGGCTCGGGGGCATAATTCACTCCATGGTCCAGATCCTTGTTACTGTCCAACTGCCGTTCTGTGGTCCCAATGTGATTGACCACTACTTCTGTGACCTCCATCCGTTATTCAAGCTTGCCTGCACTGACACTTCTGTGGAGGGGGTTATTGTGTTGGCCAACAGTGGGTTAATCTCCGTCTTCTCCTTCCTCATCTTGGTGTCCTCCTATATTGTCATCCTGTACAACCTGAGGAACCATTCTGCAGAGGGGAGGCGCAAAGCCCTCTCCACCTGTGCCTCTCACATCACAGTGGTCCTCTTGTTCTTTGGACCTGCCATCTTCCTCTACATGCGAACCTCCTCCACCTTCACTGAGGACAAACTGGTGGCCGTGTTCTACACAGTTGTCACCCCCATGCTGAACCCCATCATCTACACACTCAGGAATGCAGAGGTGAAAAATGCCATGAGGAAGCTGTGGGAGAAGAAAGTGAACTCAGAAGTGGGATAAAAATGAAAAAATGAAAAAAAATTCTTAAGAACAGGACTATATATGCATATTCTGTTTTTGGTCAAATGTAAATAATAGAACAAAAGTTAACTTATTCATATATATTTTTTTGTGGTAGATGAATGAGCCCCTTATACTCCATGTTATCAGTTGTAGCTCTTTCATTGCTGTCTGTATTTCGGAGAATTTTCAAATTGAGTTGCATCTCCTCTCCTGTTGTCCATAGTGCAAAGTGCACAGATTTCAGGAGGGATCATCTAGACTGGAATTTCCATCTGGAATTCCCACCCTATCATCTTCTGCCTGTACAGCCTTGGGTCCATGCATTTTGCCTTTTGGTGTTAGCATATGGTGTGTGGAAAGTCTGTGGACTTGGAGAATGAAGTTTATGTTTTGCTTTCCTACTGATGTGGTCTTGTGGGAGTCACAGGAAAGCATTTTTACTTCATTTGGTGTCCCTACCCCATTAATTTAATTCCAATGCCTAGAATTCCATAATAGGAGCTTTATTTCATGACAGTAGGGCATTGCTAGAATGGCAGTATCTCTTGGAAGTGAACTACAAATGCTTATATGTGTCATATCTTCTTGATGGATTGATTCCTTTATCCCTATACAATCTTTTGTCCTTTGTTACCATTTTTGGATTAAAATCTATTCTGTCTGATATAAGTATAGCTACCCCTGCTTTCTTTTGTTTTGGAATTTCTTTTCTGTTGATTTACTTTGAGCCCATATTTGCCCCTAAATCCGAAATGTGTCTCCTGTAGGCATAGTTGGGTCTTCTTTTTTCTTATTCCAATCAGTCACTATGTCCTTTTTGATTGAATTTAATCCATTAACATTTAGAATGAATTATTGATATAATTTATAGTTTATCTTGTTAATTGCTTTCGGTCTGTTTTGAATTTCCATTGTTCTGTTTCTGCCTGCCTTTTTTTTTTATATGTTTATTTACTTATTTTGAGAGAGAGAGAGAGAGAGAGAGAGAATGAGAGGGGGAAAGGGCAGAGGGAGGGGAGCGAGAGAAGGGGCTTGATGTCACAAACTGAGATCAGGACTGGAGCCAAAATCAAGAGTCAGATTCTTAAATGACTGAACCAACTAGGTGCCCCTGTTTCTGCTTACCTTTGTAAAAGGTAATTTTCTGTGGTGGAATGCCTTTGAGAATCGACTCTGCGTTTCTGCTTTGTTGTTACTATGAGGCTTACATAAAATATCTTAGAGATAAAACAATCTATTTCAAGTTGATAGCAACTTCAATTGCATATAAGATATCCACCCTTTACTCCTCTATTTTGTGTTTTTGATATCACAATTTACTTCTTTTTATATTGTGTATTCATTAACAAATTACTGTATATATTGTTATTTTAATACTTTTTCCTTCAACTGTTACAGTTAAGTGATTTTCACACCATTGTATTATAGAATTAGTTTTTGAAATCTGACTTTATATTTCACCTTACTATTGTGTTGTATAATTTGGTATGTTTTTGTGTCACTAATTTATATCTGTTCATTTCAGCTTGATAGTTCCTTTGAACATTTCTTGCAAGGCAAGTATTTGGGAAATATTTTGGAAAAGTCTGCCTTTATTTGTGAAGGACAACTTTGCCAGATGGAATATCCTTTGCTTTTTTTAAAAATTTGAATATTTGAATGTGTCCTGTTGCATTCTCCTGGTCTGTAGGGTTTCTTTGGAGAAATCTGCTGGTAGCTTAATGGACATTCCTTTGTAGGTTATAATGTTTTTCTTCCTCTGGCTGCTTTTAGGATTCTCTTTATCTTTGGTTTGATGTTTTCGTATAATGTGTCTTAGAGAAAATCTTTTTACATTGAATTAATAGGGTGATCTGTTAGCTTCTTGTACTTGGATATTCAGGGGTCCCCAGGTTGGAGAAGTCACTTTTCAGTCTACAAAATATTCAGAAAATAAAGTTAAGAATCAAGGCAACAAGCTAGGTTCATTCACTTAATCTTTATGAGGCATGCTGTGGAATTATTTTCAAAGAGAAAAGCTTACTTATTTTGTACTAGATGGCTACTCCCCTTATACTTTAGCCTCTGTGCTGTTACAGCTGTTACAGGACACCCACAGTGATCCCTTGGTTTTGAAATAGATGTAGTAGCAGATCGGGGATTCAGGGATCAAATAAAAACTCATATTAACATCTGAGTTCCAAGCCCTGGACAAGGTGTAATATAGGTCATAAACCTATGGGTAATCTAATCCTTGGTGA